TCACACTGACATCTCCTTTTCAACTCAGTGTCTGCCAATGCCTCAGGTCAGTTTTTTTTTTTTTACAAAGCTGCTTTCCAGATGGTCAGCAGGAAGCATTTACTGGTACATGAGCTTATTCCTCCACAGGAATTTCCCTGGGGAAATATGTGTTTGATTTTGCTGAACTTCATTAGGTTCCTATCTGTCCAAGGCTTCAGTCCATTCATCTGAATGGCAGCACAACCATTGGGAATATCAGTCACTCCTCCTGGTTTTAAGTCATCTGCCAACTTGCTGAGGGTGCATGCCATCCTATTCTCTGGGTCATTAATGAGGGTGTTAAGCAGCATGGGCCTCAGTATTAATGCCTGATGCCCACTGCTGGTAACTGGGTTTTGGGATTGGGAGTTTTCCTTGTATTGGGTTTGCGTGGCCAGGTTTTGGTAGAGGGGTTGGGGTGCAGACTGGCTTCTCTAAAAAGTTGCCAGAAGCTTCCCCCATGTCCAGCAGAGCCAATGCCAATCAGTTACAAGACAGATCTGGAGGTGGTCAAGGCTGAGCAGGAGATGGTAGTAGCAACCCTGTGATAAGATATTTAAGAGGGAAGAGGAAGTCATTGTGCAGATTTAAGCATGCTGAGAGAAGACAGAAGTGAAAATATGTGAGAGAAGCAACTCTGGAAACAGCAAGGTCAGTGAAAAGGAGGCAGAGGAGGTGCTCCATGCGCTGGAGCTGAGATTCCCATGAAGCCTGTTGTGAAGACTATGGTGAGTAAAGCTGTCCCCATGAAGCCTGTGGAGGTCGATGGTGGAGACCCAAGCCAGAGCAGATGTATACCTGAAAAAAGGCTGTGGACCTTTGGGAAATCCATGCTGGAGCAGCTTTCTGGCAGGGTCCTGTGCACTCCCAAAGGGAGGAAACCATGCTGAAACAGATTTTCTAGCAGGACTTGTGACACTATTAGGACCCCAATGTTGAGTAGGCAGATCCTGAAGGACTGGATGTTACAGGAAAGGGACCTACAGTGGAACAGTTAATGAAGAACTGTAGCCTGTGGGAAAGACTGCCTATGGAGAAGTTAATTGAGAATTGTCTTCTTTGGCAGGAATGCTATGCTGGAGCAGGGGAAGGACTGCAGCGACAGAGCAGTGGCAGAAACAACGTGGTAAATTGACTGTAACCCCCATTCCCCATGTCCCTGCACTTCTGTCAGGGAGGAGGTACAGCCCATGAAGGAGGAAAGGTGTTTTTAAGATTTGTTTTACTTCTCATTATCCTTCTCTGAATATGATCAGTAATAAATTAATTTACTATTCTCAAGTTGAGTCTGTTTTTCCTGTGACAGTAATCAGTGAGTGATTTCTCCCTGTCCCTATCTCAACCCATGAACCTTATTTTTATATTTCCTCTCCCCTGTCCTGCAGTGGAGGGGAGTAATAGAGCAGATTTGATGGGTACCTTACATCCAATCACAGTAAACCCACCAAACCTCCAGGACTTAATTCTGTTTGTTACAGCCAAGACCTTCATCATCACACAAAAGCCAATCTATCAATATACAAATTTAGCTGAAGCTTTATCATCACTTCTTATACCACAGTGGTGTTCAGTTTTTCACAGGAAATAAACAGCTAATTTAGAATACTTTGAAACACTGTTAATCATACTTGAAGTTTTTAATTACACACAATAATTTTGTGATGTTTTAAACATAATGTATTTATGGAATAATTAATTTATTTGTATGCAAGTAAATGTAATCATATTAATGCAATAAAGACAAATTAAAGCACCATATTTCTTCATTATATAAGTATCCGATCCCAGAATTAAAATACACCCAAATGCAATTAGAACCTAATGCAGCATTTTCCAAAAGGCATATTATCATCACTAGCACATAACTTGCCAAGTTATTATCACAGCCCCTTATTCTGACTAAACACATCATAAAATTCCAAGGGGACAAAGGGAAGAAAAAAATTAGAGAAAGCAGCTCTAGAAGAACACTTTCATATACTTCAACAGAACTTGAAAAATACTTGGATATGAGACTATCAGAAAACAGGAAAGACTTCTTTCTCCTCACAGGTATGGGGAGCCATGAGTTTAGGTGCAAGCTCTGTCTGAGTGTCTCACAGGTCACAAAACTATGTGTGTCTAGTTTCCATGGGGAAGCTGGTAGTTTCCCCTCAGCTGGTCACCACACAGCTAGTAACAAATAAAGATTGAGACTTTCTGCTGCACAACAGCAAATTCTGTCTTTTTTCTCTGTAAGGGTTTGCTCCTTATATAGATATCCCATCTGAGACAAAGCATAAGCTATCACTTAAGTTATGCGTGTACCAGGACTGTCTAGCTTGATGAGTCTGACATTTGACTCAGAATGTGTCTTAACTACCCCAGCTTACTGCCCTGAGTCCTTGTCCAGAAAACAATTTGCCTCTGCATTAAAGTTTTAAAAATTCTGTCCACTGCAATCAAAAATTCCTCTATCTTTGTGTGAACAAACCCTTAGGATTTTCTACTGCTATGCAGACTAAACTATGAGTCATTAGACTTTGCAAATCATGATTAGGAGCATTATCCAAGAAACCTGCTGCAATTCATCTTTGAATGGGCAGAATAGAAGAAAAAATTATCTAGAAAATGGTATTTGTGAGTCGCAAGGCACAGAAACTATAATTGCTTATCCAATATGGAAAAAACCCATGACTGAAATGCACCTACACATCCATTTTATACCTAGATGAAAAAATTATCTGACACAAGGTCCAGGCTAGGGGACAGAACCATTCTCATACTGGTGATGTAATAAAGGTATAGGAATACTGTATTGAGTATAACTGGTAGACTGGCTGGGTTTCTGTTAGCTGCAAGGTACATTCTGTGGAGAAGGCTCTGAACTTCTCTGAACCAGTAGGCTTTGGCAAGTTCTGGCACTGCCATAAGCAACTCATCTTCAATTAAACATGCAGCAAGGCAAGGGAGCTCCCAGCACCCTGATTTATAATTGATCAGGAAAGAGAACCTGTTACTGGAACCATGAAAAAAAATGGAAAAAATACCTCCAGAGAAATTGCAGGACACTTGCAGAGTACATTCACCATTTTTTGCCCTGAAACCACATCCCCCAGAGATGCTGTGGCTCTGCCAGCTCTCTCTGCACCTGGGACCCATCAGACATGTCCAGTACTGGACCAATGAACCAAGCAGAGGAGCCAGGCAAATACTGGAGACAGATGCATTTTCCTTCCCCCATTCTAAGGTAGCATTGCTTAATGTTCCTCCTATGTAAAGTAACCTGAAATCGGTCGTTGCTTTCAATGAGTGACCTCTAAAGGTCATATGCAACCTAAATATTTCTATGGTTATAAAGGTCTGTTGCTTTTTTTTAGCTCACATGACATTCAACAATTATAATACAGTATTTACATAAGTAGTCATGTAATTTAGCCTACATTTATAAAAACTTTTATATACTGATCTGTAGTCCACGGTTCATCTCTCCTTAGCTCTCTCTTCTGTGATCACTCAAATCACAAAAGAAGACCACAAAAAAAGATCACAAGCAAGATAGACATCTGCTGACAATGCCTCTAACATAAAGTGTCTGTATCCAGAGGAAGGAACTGAATAAAAAAATCTCTAACCTGAGAATAAATTAGTCTTGTCAGTGTTCTTACTGGGAAATCATCTGTACAAGCAAAAAACCTCCTGATTATTCTCCAGTGCAATATTTCCAAATTGCAACAGTTTTCTCAAGTGTGATGTCTGCTAATACAACACTGTGCTCAACTTTACAAAGCCTGTCTGGTCTTTAGGCAAGAGATGTAATTATTAAGAGTTTAACATTTGGCAAAAGAAATAAAATGTAAATTTATCTCTCAGGTGCTAGCTACTACACATGTCATTGCTCTACTGCCTGAAATACTCCTCCTCCTTGATATTTTGGAACCGTGACTAGAAAACTTTCTTTGCTACCCCTACTGTTTCTACACTAACAAGTATTCTGTGTTTTAACATATTTTTTTGCTAACTGAGTTTCTGGGTGAACAAGAAATATTTTCCAAAGACCTGGACTCAAGGTCATGTGTCGAGTACTCCACTTGTGTGTCAGTCTGGTTATGGTTAGACTTAATAAAAGCAGACTGGGCACATCCACACAATGAGTTCTTGTCCCTGATTTCCTGAATGCACACCAGGTAGTCTCAATGTGTTGGCTTTATTCTGGTCTGATCTTTTTGGTTTCAAGATTTTGAAATAATATTTTTGCACACCACAAGGGCAGTATTTTTATCATACGATAGCACAATATTTTTTATGGGTACTGAAATGTGACATAAATACATTTACAGGTGTCAAAGGGTACAAAGCTTACAAGGCTGACATTTGAGGAACCTATACCATTAAAGACAAACACTGGCTCATCTAAGTATTGCTTTTGGCAGTAGTTGTGCATACTGGCTTTGAAATTGCACAAAGCAGAAGCAGAGAAAAGTGTCTGTCCAGGAAAACAGTGTTCAAGCTTGTTTCATAATATTTCTTTTTTTAATATCACAGATATACTGCATTATTTTTCCCACAATTCAAGTTAAAATTGGATCTTTGAAGGAAAACCTCCAAGAGAAAGAATTTGTTAGCATATTCTGAAAGTATTTCATACCAATTATTTTCAGAAATGTTATATGACTGGTTAATCTAGATGCAAAAAATAAGTCTGTCACAAGATCACTTGTATATGACTTTAATTTTAATTATATCAGAATCCATTCTCTAATAATATCTCCTAGTATTCTATGGTAAAAAGTGTTAATCTAACCTTCGAAATAATAAAATAAGTTGTTGTCTTTAATATTCAATACCTCAGTATAGCAGACATCTACAGATATTCATTATGTATTGCAACTTTAATTTACTAGGCTTCAGGGATCTGAAATACCAACATACATGCTTCAGCACTTCTGCAAGGCCTCTGCACTAAGCCTAACAGGCTGCTTGATGCCTCTCGTCATCCACTACTTGTGGATGTTTGGGCGACAACAAAAAATACTGTTTTTTTCTAAACTCTTCAGTCCTGCTGCAAAATCTCCCAAAGCACCTGGTTCTTCACTTATATTACATTGTTCCTTCTCTTGAAGTATCTTATTCCATTCATAGCGGTCTCTGTGCTGTTCTTGGAGAGCTTTCTCCTAACCTCCTAGGGCCTTTTTCTTATTTGAAGGGGCATATTCCCTTCTTGCAGAGCAAATTTCTGCTCACTGAGAGAGGAGAATTTTTCTTCACAAACAGCTTTTTCCTCCAACTGAATGGCTTTGTTGTCCTCTTGAAGAGCTCTAAGCTGGTCCTTGAAGGCTTTGTGTTTTTCTCAGAAAGCTAAAATCTCATTGTGAAGAGCTTTTTCTTTCAATGCAAATGCTCATTCATATCCTTTGAGAGACTTAATCTCTTCTCTGAGGGCTTTATTTTGTTGGCGAGCCTTTTGCTGTTTCTCAAGGTTCTTTGTTTCCTCTGAAGAGTCCTTATGCTTCCTTTGAAGGATTTTATTCTGTTCCCAAAGGACTTTGTTCTATCTGCGGACACTTAGATTCTCCTAATAGTAGACTTTGTTCTCAATACGAAAACTTTGTTCTTTTTGCCGAAAATTTTGATTGTCTTCTTGAAAGACCAGATTCTCCTTCCAGTTTGGTTAAATCATGACACATGACAGGAGATGGCAAATAGGAGTGGGAGTAGCAGTGATAAATTGCTGATGTTACTCAAAGAATATTTATCCTTTGAGTCAGATACTTTCCCACTTAGCTGCACCACTCAGGGAAGGTGATTCCACCTTCCATATGCAGTAGTCATGGAACAGAGAATAGAGGTTCAGTGTCCAAGTAAGTAAGTAAATAAATAAATATAGTATTAAATCTAGAATAAAAAGAACAGTAAATCAATACTGACATTTGACAAACACTATATATTTTTGTATGTGCTGAAGTATGTTCAGCAGATTAAATTTCACAAGGCTAACTTGATTATACTACTTCCTCTTAGAGTCCTTTCAGGGTCCAAAAACTTTGTCAATTATTCTCATTAACTTGTTTATAACTGAGGTAAGGTAGCAATAAACACTTTTAATTGTTGTTTATTCCTCATTCCACCCTGCTGCAACAATGTTATATTGTTTGGATTGGAGCAAATGTACAGACTAAGTAGGATTTTTATAAATTTAATTTCAATATAAAGGACAATATTTTAAAATCAAGGATGTTTTGGATATATGCCTGGTGTTTACCTGGAAACACTAAACAATTAGTTAACATGCTGCTCAATCATATAATTTATACATACAGCCAAATGCAAACACATATTCTAGCTGTTCAGAGAAACTATATTATTTCTGTGGAGTATCCAACATAAAAATTACGATAAATTAAGGAAATAACGCAATAGCTATCACTGTGTTATCCTTGAATCAGTTTGCTGTCTGGCAGCTCATGACAGACCTGTCAGTGAGGCTATCCTCAATGATGCAATTTCAAAAGGCATAGCAGCAGTGGCACAGCATTAAGAGGCAGTGGTAATCAAATAAGTTGTGTCCATATGAACTAAAGCATTAGGGTTTGTATGTCTAGGGTTCTCTAGCAAGTCAGTCTTTATTTTCTTGGGTATTTTTTAATATTTCTTCATCCATTATGTTAATTCAAAACATTATTTTCTGTCTGGCTAAATTTTTTTTTTTTTTTTTTTGTCAATGGTATTGATGGCTGCCATGAAATATTTTCATACACAGACTCTAAAAGTGAGCTTTTGCTTCTAGCTACCTTGGTGCAAATTTGGGGTGACTGTAGTTATTTGTAAATTATAAGAAATTCCATTGATGAAACAATATACAGTCTATATTATTCAAAATAGACTAGCATTAGTATTCATAATTCAAAATATTTGAGTATATTTAAAAAATGCACATGAAAAAAGAGAATTAAATAATAAAAGAGCGTGATGGTAGGGTGTTTGCAATCTTTATTGCCCCCCAGGTTACATTCTTTTTTCCAGCTCAAACATGATCCATGTAATTTATGACAATCGCTTTGCTTTGTTTGAAAAGAGGATGAATTACTTCAGACATATGAACATCTTAGATTACACTGGTAACTTGTCTACTCCTTATGAATTTTGAGGAACAGAGGAAAACAATATTCCAACTAAAGTATAAACCTGTTTCCAATATTTGTTATCCGATCAAAGCCACTGATATGTGGGGCTTTTTTAATCATGCACTATGTGCTCAGGATATTAAAAAAAGTCCAGTGAGCTTACAATTAAATTTGTCAATTCTGTTTAAATCACTACACACATCACATCATTTCTTTTTACTGTCCCTCAGCTCTGTTCTTTATGTTAATTAGGTAGGGGACTGAAATATGGCATGTAAAATGTTCAGTAATCTCAGGAGATGAATATATACAATTCCCGCTGAAAACTTTACAAGATGATCAGCCCTCCGAATGCTTTTCTCCAGGATATTTGATTCCCCTGCCTGCTCACTCAAATTAAATAGGCAATGCAGATGAGTAATACTGAAACCTGTAATATCAAACAAGATCAGTATCTTGGGTTCACATATCTTTCCCAGACTTTTTACCTCACTTTAAGTCCCCAAGAACTATTTAAATCTTATTTCTTCCATGCTTATCAGCAAGATATATCTGAATATTATAGTTCAGTTAATTTTTTTTCAGCTTCTTTAAAAATGTCATAGTGATTAAAAAGAGGTAGCCCATGTAAATCGGTAGCTCTTGTTGTTGTTTCTATATTAAAATATAAAGGTTAAAGTAGCACTGGTTATTTTGACATGTAGGTCCCCTAGGTCCCCTTATTTTATAATTTAGAAATATAAGTAGTAGGAAAAAGCTGTCAGTTTCAACAAGTGATAAAGACTAAGGCCATATTTCCTCCTCAATCTACATAGTAAAAGAAAGAATAATCTGAGGTTTGAAAAGGAGGGAATTTTATGGATGCACTCCAGAACTGGACTAAAACAATACAGCTGAAATTATACCAATAATTATTTACTCCACTAGAAATGAAGGTAAACTTATCCTAACTCAGCTTCATGATGTTTCCTTGAGTCCTGTCACTAGTCACAACAGTGAAGACATTGGTAGCTGCCCCTGCAATTCCCATCATGATGTTGTTGAAGACTCTGATGACATCTCCCCTTGGTCTCCTCCAGGATGAACAAACCAAGTGACCTCCACCACTTCTTATAAGGCTTCCTCTCCAGCCTCTTCACTATCCTCATGGCCGTCCTCACAATGCTTTCTAGTAGCACAATGTCTTTCTTATGCTGTGGCACCAAAAGCTGCCCACAACACACAAGGTGAGGCCACCGCAACTCAGAGCAGAGAGGGACAATCCCCTTCCTTGCCTGGCTGGTGATGCTGTGCCTGATGGACCCCAGGACAGGCTTGGCCCTCCTGGCTGCCAGGGCACTGCTGACTTATGCTCAACTTGCCACTGACCAGGACACCCCAGTCTCTTTCTGCAGTGCTGCCCTCCTGACAGCCTCTCATCCACAGTATATTGACACAAACTGTGTTGCCCCATCAAAGCTGAGGAATCTGGCACTTGCCCTTGTGGGACGTTGTACTGTTTGTATTTGCCCATCTCTCTAATTTGTTGAGTTTCTCTGCAGAGCCTTTCTGCTCTTGAGGGAGTGGATCACACTGCTGTTTAGTTATCAAAGTACATGGGAAATATAGAGAATGTGAATAGAGGGTTCTAAGATAACTAAAGTAAAGATTAAAGGCTGTTTTTATAACATTTCAAATATTTCAAATATAATATTTATCTTAGTATTGTAAGCAATTTTTGCAGTGAGGTCTGTGATTGAAGGCTGTGAAATTATATCATTGCAATGCATGCTGCTGATCATTATTTCAACATGACAATGTGTGTAAAACTTAACATGATAGTGAAAATAGTGGCCTAGGCAAACTGATTTCAGTTTACCAGTTCTTAATTCTGGTTGCTCTGATCAGAAAGTAAAAAATACTCTTTTAAAAATAAAGGTTTTGTCTCTAAATTTTACAATGCAGTGAAATACAACAATGCAAACCTTTCAATGACACCCACTCTGAGGGGATGTACTGCAAAACAGAACACACACAGCATCTGTGAAAGAAACGGAAAAAGGATTTGATTTCCTGCCTCAATCTACACAAAAACTGAACTGTAAACTATTCTCACAACTTTTTTGAATGCCCCCATTTCCCATATTTAGTTTCACTGCTCAGTGCAAACGAGTTGCAGAGCAGATATTTTCTTAACTTTCCAGGTGACACTAGCTAACAATTCTGATCAAACTCTGACCCCAAGATAGCTAGGCTTGCAAAAAATGCAAAGTACAGGAAAAGAAAAACAGCATAGTTCATAAAATAAGCTTATAAAATCAAAATCACACCCATTTTACAGCTTGTATTGCATATGCCAGTTGCTGCTGGGAAAAGCTAAAAACTCAGACTGGAACCTAAAAACCTACCTGCCATATTTGGCCCATCTGGCACTTTTACCATTCTGACAATTTTATGCTGATGTAGATTCTTTTTTAGGTCATTCAAACTTATGATTTCTCTCCCAAGTGGATATGAAATTTATGTTGTTGCTTCCAGGAGACTGAAAACCTGGGCTAAGACAGATCTTTGCTCTACCTGCCGGAGATTAGCAGAGTACCACAGAGAGCAAAAGCTGATGGTGCTGTACATCTGTGCATTCAGCATTCAGTGGCACTAAGCCACTAGTCTCTTTTCTGCATGACCAACTGACTAATTACTTTACTTGGCCTTTCTGAATCCCTTCAATTAATGCAATGTGCAGTTGCACACAGTAATGGAGTCACCCATACAGAACAGAATCTGGGCCAGAATTAGGCTCCAAGTCCCAGAAGCACCTGTTACAAACACAGAATGTCCAGATGGTCTGGTCTTTGTGGGAAAGTGTCAAGAATTGACTTATCTGTCTTTCTTACTTTGAATTTAAGGTCATAAACATGATTCTTTTGAAGCAGAAAGCCAATCATATTTAGGAAAAAAAACCCAACAAAACAAATCAAACAAACAAAGAAAACGGAAGGAAGGGGTGGAAGGAAGGGGCGGAAGGAAGGGGCGGAAAGGAAGGAAGGAAGGAAGGAAGGAAGGAAGGAAGGAAGGAAGGAAGAAAGGAAGGAGACATAAAATAGGAAAATAAGAGCTTAAAGCAATGCATAAACCAGTTGGTTATTACTTATACTATTGTTAATATTGTCCATTATTTGTTCCGTTAAAATGATCTCATTAGGAAGCCATGACTGCCATTATTCTTGCTTATTTCTTGAGATATCCCAACTGCTTTTTGGGATCTGACATAAAATTCTTTATTTCTTTCTCTATCTCATGCAGCTCAGAAGGCATGGAATGCGAATTCCATGGTTATTGCCAATGGAGAAAAGACACTCATGAATGAAATAGTGCACTGTTAGAAAATGAATTAACATTCAAGAACAATCCCCACTGTTATAAACACAAATAACTGATATTCTTAAAAAAAAAGAGAGGGTGAGAGTGACAGAAGGACAGTATTTTCTAGTGTTTCTAAGCAAAACCAAAGCAAATAGATGATAAGTAATTTAAGTCTGAGTTTACAAACTATGGAATTCAGAATCACTAAAT